CAACACCAACAACAACAACAACAACATCAACAACAACATCAACAACACCAACAACAAAACCAACAACAAGACCAGCAGCAACAACAGCAACAACAACAACAGCCGCGTGGCAAACACACTGAAAGCTGCTTCTATCTTTGGAAGCGCCACGACAACTATTGCCACTGCTACTACTGCAGCTGCACTATGCTTACACCCGCGCATCAGATGAGATCTTCCATGCCAACTGCCCAGCCGCCCAAACAGCAAAAGCAGTAGTCGTGACGGGCAGTAGCAATTTTGTTGGCTCCATGCTTGCCGACTGTAAGCTCTCAGGCACGTCCCGAGTCTGGCAGCGCATCATGCCGGTGATACCATGGGGGCCTCAATAATTTATCTATACTATATGTACGCCAAAACTCTATTCCAATTATTCACGCCCCTGCAGTAGCCAGTTCTCAAAGATCCCGATTTGAGTGTTGAGTTTGACGTATTCTTGTGAGGAGGCTGCCACAAGCTTTTGCTGCGCCCTCAGCGACAGGTGAGAGGTCAGAAAGTCGAGTGAGCTGCACAAATCCCCCTCAAGTCTCCCCCCTACACATCGTAGAGCAGTTGACCGATCCTTGCAACTTCAAATCACAAGCTCAGAAGAATCGAAGAACCGAATGTAGCCTTGCGCAGAAGCGTCCGGACCGGATTTAAGTACTTTACTTCTTCCTGCATCTACCGTGGTGGATTTGTCGTGATTTGTTGTTTGTTGTTGTTTTGTTTACGAAGGTTGGGAAACACAAAGCAGTCTCAAAGGACTCAGTCCGAGGTATTGGAGCCCCTGCGCACTGGATCGAAGATCAAGCTGGGCACTTCGACCCGGAGCTACGAGGCAAGGTTGGGGTTAAGGGTCTGCAGTTCAGGGTTTAGGGCTTGGGGGTAAGACCTTGGGAGTTTGTGTGTTGAGTTTAGGGCTTGGGGTTTAGGTCTCTAGGGTCTAAAGTTTATGGTTTCGGGTAGGTCGCGGCAAGTACATTTCCTTGTTGATCATTAGGTGTCAGACGTCGCCCAGTGGAGGGAAGTGAAAAACCAGGCAGATCTGTAATAGCTTGGACGTCCGGGGACACAAGTTTATCCTGAAAGCCTTGGCCCAGTGATGTTAGCAGATCGTGGTTTGGCCACTATCCTTCTGCCTTACAGCATGTTTGTGGGAGAGGTTCGTCTGCAAATTCCGAAAACGAACTGGCTTGCCGGCTTGTTCACAGGGCTACAGCCGGCATCCGCCGTGGCTGCTATGGTCATCGATCTAGCAAACCGCGATTGCCACCGCCAAGACTGCTGGCAACTACGAGCGCCGTACTTTTCATCATCTCCTGGCGTCTAGGTTAGGACAGCATCAGTTCACGTGGCAATTTCGTGTGGTCATTTGTAGTAACCGCAAGGTCAGGGGCAAGAGCCACGAACAGGGTTAAGACTGCGAGCGTCAGTACTTACAATGCCCATCAGGCATAACAGTCATGCCATGGTGGCAGAGTACCACAACATGACAATCGAACGCAAAGCAGAAACGTCTGTAAATATTTCATCATTTCCCTGCAATGTTCCTGCAACCCAACCGCACTAAACCCCAAAGCCTGAACCTAAACCCTAGAACTTAAATGCCAAACCCTACACCCTAGTTAAATCCCAAACCTTAAACCCTAAAACCTAAATCCTGAAGCCTACATCCTATCCCTGAAGTAAGCCGAAGCCCGACTCCCTAAGGGTCCATGTACTCATATCGCGTATACATGGGCCTTAAACTACCTATTTAGGGACTACATTAAGGCCAATGTATATACTATATGAGTACATGGACCCTTAGGGACTGAGTTCTTGGGAGGTGAAAAACCCTAAACCCATCAAAACCCGAAAACCTAAATCCTAAACCCTAAAGCCAGCCTAAATCCTATCCCTGAAGTCAGCCGAAGCCCGACTGAGTTCTTGGGAGGTGAAGGTCAATCTCCGCTCGCAGATCGAAGAGCTCGAGCGGCAGCAGCGAGAGCTGATGCGGGAGGTGCAGAGCATTGATCAGGAGCCTGACCTGGATTTAGGGCTTCGGGGTTGAGGGTGTTTAGGGTTTGGGTTTTAGGGTATAGAGCTTAATCTAAAGGATGTGTCTTCTGTTTCTGGCGAGATCATCATGTTTCACAATTGCTGCAACAGAAAATATAAGGTTTGCTGCTTAAACAGCAGCGGCTGCTTTTGACTCCAAAGTTGCGAAGTTGCGTATAGTTCTGGTTTCCTCGAGGTACGACGTTTTGATTGCTTTCTGTTAGAATTCAGCTCGTCTTCCGACGCCCTAAACCCTAAACCCTGCATTTCGGGGGGGCGCCGAAAGCTTCTGCGAGCCGAGGGTGTGAGCCTGCGAAAGAAGACGCTTCAGAAGTATAGGTGCCTTAATAACTACCTATACTATTTTGGGGGTTCCTGATTATAATTATAGTATAATGGGCACCAAAACCTTATTCCAATTATTAAGGCCCCTACATTAAGACCACTAATCTGAACCGGAGGGAGCACTTTCCCTAAGGGACCAAAGGACCCCAAAACTTAGGTACCTAGGTTTGGGAATAGTAGTTATGTAGGTTACTATTTGGGAGAGTATTTGATTGTTAGGTACATGGACCCTTAGGCTTTGCTCTTCTCCCAAAACACTACAGCTTTAGGGTTCTAAAACAGGGTTCCCCCAAGATTCAAGCCTTCAGGACGCTGCCGATCCGGTGCAAGCTGCGAAGAGGCTGGCCAAGGAGGAGCAGACCGTTTTGAGGGAACGAAATTACAAGTTCAGGGGTCGCATGGCTCGACAGGCTCACCTACAGAGTTTGGCAGCCAATTTTACATGAGGGCCTCGGCTTCAGGTTTGGAGTTTTGCTCCGGGGTGTCAAGCTTTGAACTCAGGCTTCTTAAACCATAAGCCCCAAACCGAATCTATGGCAGCTTCGCAGGTCAGTATGCCAGCTTCTCACCATGCCGAACCCAGAAAGCCATACCTAATCCCTAAAGCCCTAAATCATAAAGTCTAAAACCCGAAATCCTAAAGCCCTAAACCCTAAAGCCCGAAT